TGACGAAAAAATGGCTATTACGAAAAAATGTCCTTGTCACAACTAACCAAAATTGGTGTGATGGCTGACAAATTCATAAAATACTAGCTCAATAACTTACAAAGCTCTTGAGCAATTGAAAATTCGATAGAAGATTGAAATTTATGATGATGCAAATTCCTCCTTTTGATATTGACTTCCTGGCTCCATCTAATTATGCATAGGCAACACTTTACTCCTTGAATGTGTTCTCGATACCTAAGTCATCGCAAAACCCTAGGCAAGGCATTTTGGCATTGCCTAGCACTATCACCACAACCACCACCCAAATAACCATTTTAGCCGTAATAACATTATTGTCATAGCTAACAACAAATTCACTCGTAAGTTGCACTACCACCATGATAGTTCTAATTCCCTCTCCCCTAACACACCTCCTTGATCTCAATATACACCTCAAGAAGCCTAATTTTCCCCCGCTACAAAATGCAACATCATATCAATCTTATCACTGTCATACATGATTGATTATCTTTGTACACTAGACCATATCCTCTGTAAATTGGCAACTTTCACGCCATTTTGTGTAGACTCCAAATACAACATCATTCCTAATAAATCTGTGAGAGATCCTGCCTCGTGAATTGTGCAAGCAATCCTCACCGTAGTTGATTTACAGTCTTCATAATCAATATCATTTTGGAAATTTGTCATTCTATCAATTTTTTTTGAATTTTCTTCCCATTTATACAATTTAAAATAACATCTACCACATACAAATCATTTACCACATAATCCAAAATTCTTAGTCTCAAACACCACACAATGTAAGTTATGAACCATAATCCAAATTCTAAATTCAAATTAAACCTCAATTCTAAATTCTTTAAGCAAATACTATCTTTTAATTTTTTTTTTTTTGACAATAAGTTGCATTTCATTCATAATCGATGTTGGTACAAGCTGAGCCTATTACAGAAGAGGTGAGATTAAATCAAGAATATGGATCCATTGAGTAGGAAGAGTTCCTCTCGCTGATTCTCTGGCCACCCAATCTGCGCTCTTGTTGTTGCTACGTGGAGTAAAGCACACCTTGATTCCATCATTTGAGGATAGGATATGTCGCATACAATGAAGCCAAGCTTTGACATGCCATGGCCAAGTAGCCCCTTGCCTAAGGAGAGCATTTGTGAGAACTTGGCAGTCGGAGTAAACAATTGCAGACATTCCTGAAGAATCAGCAGTTTGGAGAGCAGTCAATAGGGCTTTAGCTTCCGCCACCATCGATGTTGAACAAAAAAAAGTACCAGCCTTTCCATCAATCCCTTGTCCATGGCCGTCACGAACGACAACGCCATAAGCCGCCAACTGTGATTCCGAGGCAAAAGCTCCATCACAGTTAATCTTCAATTGGAAGAAACCAGGCGGTGGATCAAGGTTAGAACGGGGTGGAGGGGGCTGGGTAGAGACGATCCTTGGGGACGGGGGAATAGCGTTCCAATCGGTGAAGTGGTTGACAGCCTTCGCTGTAGTAGTCTGGAGAGTGGGTCTGACCCCTTTGAAAACAAACTCGTTCCTAGCATTCCAGATTGCCCAGAGGTTCGCAGCAATAGCCATGACAGAGGAAGAAGGGGATGCTTCATGCAGGTGGAACAACCACATCAACAAAGGCATTGAAGTGGGAGGGAGCTGCAGCGATGGGAAGCTAGAATGCCAGGTGGAACGGGCGTGCTGGCATCCAAAGAAGCAATGCCAAATGTCTTCAGAGTCAGCCTGACATAAAGTGCAGCACGGGGATTGTATGACCTTTCGGAAGCAGAGGTTTCCCTTTGTCGCCAAGGCATTCCTTGTGATTCTCCAAATGAAATTCAGAATTTTTGGTGGCAATGAAAGACTCCATAACCATTTCCAAGCTTTGGATGAGCAATCGGGGTGGTTTGGGTCTGCCGAGTTTGTTCTAGTTCTTTCATCAATCCTAGCAGTGTGGTAAGCCGATTTAACCGTGAAGGCTCCTGATTTTTCCATGTGCCAAACCCACGTGTCTTCCGTGTCATTCGTACCGATTGGTATCCTTTTGATTGCTTCGACTTCCTCAAGATGGCAAGATTGCTCAATAAGGTCCAGGTTCCATTCATTGCAATCATTCCTGACCCAGTCCGAAGCCTTAAGTTGCTGCCGTTGGTTGTTATGAAGCCGAAATCCTGGAATGCTAGGGATCCAAGGGTCTTTCTCAAGGATGATATCCCTTCCATTGCCCATATTCTTTCGAGCCCCCAACATGAGTATCTTCCTAGCTTCCCATATACTAGACCAGATCCACGAGGGCTTCCTTCCTTTTCCTGCATCCATGAAGTTCACATTAGGGAAGTAAAGACCTTTAAGAAGCTTGACCCAAGTTTCGTCACCCCCGTTCAGGATTCTCCATCCTTGTTTGGCAAGCAAAGCAAGGTTGAACTGATGGAAGTCCTTGAATCCCATGCCTTCTTCTTGTTTGGCAGCTGTAAGGACACTTCCCTTTCTCCAATGGATCGTTCCTTTTTCTAAACTTCCTCCCCAGAAGAAGCTCTTGAGTCTAGAATCCATGATGTTGGTGGTTCTTTTAGGGAGCAGAAAGCAAGACATCACGTAGGTCGGGTAACTTTGGTAGACCGATTTAAGGAGGGTCTCCTTCCCAGCTTGGGAGAGAGCAAGGCTCTTCCATGCTTGAACCAGATTTTCCATACGCTGAACAAGACCTGCAAAAACATCCTTTTTAGATCTACCCCACTTTGTGGGCACTCCAAGGTATTTCCCCGTTCCACCTGATAGAGGTGTATTGAGATAGTCAGCAATCAGTGTCGTGATGGCCTCAGGGGTGTTCTTGCTAAAGGTGATCTCCGATTTATCATTGTTGATCATCTGTCCTGTCATGCCACCATAATCCTCAATCATTTGCTTGATGGTCATAGCTTCAGAAAGCGAGGCTTTCCCAAAGATAATTGTATCATCTGCAAACAAAACATGGGTGAGTTTTGGGCAATTTGGTGTTAAAGTGATCCCTTTTAATGATCCATTCACTATGTTCTTGTTAATGATGAAAGATAAGGCGTTAGTGAGCAAGATGAAGAGAAGAGGGGAAAGGGGGTCTCCCTGACAGATTCCTCTCGATGGTTCGAAGAAAGGTGAAGGCTGGCCATTGAAAAGGACCGCAAAACGGACAGAGCGCACACATTCCTTCACCCAGAGACACCATTGCTGGGCGAATCCCATTACCCTAAGGATCTCATCCAGGCATTCCCAGTCCACCATATCAAAAGCCTTCTTCATGTCCAACTTCATCATCATATCCCAATTCCCTCCTTTCGGCCTTGTTTTAAAGTGATGCAGTACCTCATGGACGATGATCACATTGTCCTGGATAGCTCTTCCACCCATAAAAGCCGACTGCATTTCAGATACAAGGCTTGGTATCCATTCGTTGAGTCGAGTAGTCATAATCTTGGATATGACTTTGTATCTGAAGTTACAACAGCTTATCGGGCGGAATTGTGAGATACGCTCTGGATTAGTCACTTTCGGGGTAAGGATGAGGTGTGTGTCATTCCACCCTTCCGCCATGGATCCTGTTTCGAAGAAGAGCTTAATCTCTTCACAGACTTGCTTGCCAATAATGTCCCAATACTTCCTGTAGAATAATCCCGGGAAGCCATCCGGACCAGGGGACTTGGTCGGGCCAAGGTCAAAGAATGCTGTCTTGATCTCCTCATCTTCCACCATTCTACAAAGAGCATGGTTCATATGATTCGTGACAATAGAGGGGATTTCACGAATCAACCTAAGATCGTTTCCTGTGTCTCTTTTTCTGAACAGATCTTTGTAGAAACTCACAGCATGATGCTCGAGTAAGATTTGGTTTTCAATCCAATTATTACCATCATCCATGAGCTTAACCACAGTATTCCTGAGGCTCCTTTGAATTGTTGAGGTATGGAAGAACCTCGAATTCTGATCTCCCCCTTGGAGCCAATGGACATTGGAACGTTGTCTCCAGAAAATTTCTTCCTCCAACCAAAGTTTATTGAGTTCCAGCTTCAGGGCTATCTCTTCTTCCTCATAGATAGGGTCACGAGTCAGTTCCAGGATAGTTCTCAGCCTTTCTTCAATGAGCTTTGATCCTAATCGCAGCATTGTTCACATTGGTTCTGCTCCAGGAAATAAGATCTCTGCTGCAATTGGCAAGGTTCGAGTGGTGATTGCCCCCTTTTTGCCATTCTCTCTTGATGATTTCTTCACAGTTCTCATAATTAACCCACCTGTGATCAAACCTGAATGTTGCTTTTCTAGTTTTCTGCTTACCCAATAATTCAAGTCTCAATGGACAATGGTCTGAGCCAACCATCGCCTCAACAAAAATCACAGCTTTGGTGAAAGCTTCCCTCCACGAGAGTGAGCAGAGGCCTCGGTCTAACTTGATAAGCATTTTTCTTTGTCCCTGTTGCATATTTTACCAAGTAAACTTTGGTCCCTTACTCTCGATCTCCATGAGTTCATTATTGGAGATGAACTCCTTGAAAGGATCAATTGAGTTGTTTCTTGGAGGGTTACCACCTTCCTTCTCCGCTTGACATAAAACAACATTGTAGTCCCCCAACAAGAGCCAAGGACTGTCATTAATAGGCTTAAGGATACTTAATTCCTCCCAAAAGGCCCTCCTAGCAATCACATCATTAGGGGCATGGAGGAAAGTACAAAAGAAGCAATACCTAAACTTGATAAAAGCATGAACGAAAAAATCCGATGAATCTATTACATTGATATCTAATCCTTTTACCCACCAAAGTGCTAGACCCCCCTACTACCAACAGGATTACGGTACCATTTGTTGCAAAATTTGGCCCTTCTCCTTTCTTTTTCCATTTCATCCTCCGGTTGCTTGGTTTCCATCAGCATAACGATCATAGGTTTATATGATCTGAGCATCTCTCTAAGATGCTTGACTGCCGCGTCTGTGCCAAAGCCGCGACAGTTCCAACAAATGGCAGTCATGGACCCCCTGGTGGCTTTTGGTTGGCCACCAACACCTCTGCAGAATCCATCCTAGGATCAGTACCTTCCCCATTGCCTTCATTTTGCAGGGGATTATGCTCCTGCTGCTCTTGAATGGAGACTCTTGTCTTCCTCTTTCTGCTGGCTTTGATTTTCTTTCTAGGCTGCTCATTCCGAAGACCCCAAGGACTTAAATATTGGGCTTCAATTTGGGATTTATCCCACATCATGTAGGGATGATGGGCCTGGAATGACACCATATTTTCCTGCAGCATGTTAAGATAATTTGGGCTGGGATAAAACCCTTGGTGGCCCATCAAAGGGTTGAAATGTGCTGGCAATGGGCTTTCTGTCTCAGGGCCCACAAAGTTGGCTTCACCACACCTAGCACCCGACCCTTGTCCCTGCTCAAGCCAGTGGAGGTTTCCTCCTAACCCTTTGTCAGAGTCAGAGGAATCTGGGAAAAGCTTCCTTGGTATGTATGGGGAACAGTCCATCGCTTTCTTCATGTTATAGAGCTGACCCACTAGGTTAGGTGGACTAGGATGCCCAAAACCCGGTGGAACTCCTCCACTTTCATTTGGCGATTCAGCCGAAGTATCTGTTGTACCCACGTGGGATGGGGTTTTAGATTTGACACATCCCACAGCTTTCCTCTCTCTTCCTTGGGTTCCTCGGCCTCCGGCGAGTCTACCGTCCAGCAACCGGCCGACTGAGCGGTCTCCTTCCATGGTGAAGTTGTCGCCAGTTTTGCTTTCACCTGTACCAGGGGTGCTCTTGTTAGAGATCGAAAGGGGGGACGGAGGGGAGTGGTGGCCGGCTCGGGTCCAGTCTCCGTAGCGGCCTTCAACTTTGTCTTCTGGGTAGCGACAAAGGAGCTGGGAGTGGCCAATGCGGCCGCAGCAGTAGCAGAAATTGGCAGGGAGACGCTCGTACTTGAATTCAACCCAGATGTCCGGGGGTGAGTCGTCTTGGAGGTAGAATCCAGGAGAGACAGGATCTGAGAGGTCGATCTCTACCAGGACCCTAATGAAGCTGACGTAGCGCCCCTCTGCAACTCCCATCTCATCTCCCCTGACAATCTCTTTGAAGATTTCATTCAAGGGAGTAGCGATGTTTTCCTCCGATCTGAGTTCTCCAGGGAAGTTGTGGATTTGAACCCAAATTAGAGTTCTGTTGAAGTTCAGCTCCTCTAATTTGATTTTGCCTTTATCTCTCCTGTCAAGCAGAATGAGGAGAGCGTCGGCAATCTTCCAGGGACGGGACTCCCAGATCTTCAGTTTGTCTTCCCGGGTCTTGAAGGAGATGACGAAAGTGTTTTGCGCTATTTCCGTGACAGCGGGTTGCCTGATCGCCCTCCAGTTCCTACTCAAGGTGAGTTCCATGGTACCTTCATTGAATTTTTTCTCCGTGAGCAGCTTGCCCACCAAAATCTCACAATGATTGTTTTCTTTCTCGCTCTTTTTTGGTTTGAAACGAAGGATAGAGTCAGAGATGCCAAGCGATTCAGTTTTTTGGAGTAAATCGGTGATGCCTTGGTTTTCCATTTTATGAATAGCAGAGAAAAAGAGGGATGAGATGTTTGGGGGAGTTATGGGAATGGTGTATAATAGGGGTTTCTGGGTGGGTTTGGCGGTGGAGTTATAAAGGGGGTTATGATTCTGGGAGTTCCTTTGCCTTCTGATTGAAGGGGTAGTTGGTTCATTAATGTGATTTTGGGGGATAGGGTAACTGAGGATAGAGTAAAGAGGGAAGGGGGTTAGCTCTGCATCGAAATTACTCTCCTTCTGGGTAGTTGTAAGAGAGAACTTAATGAGAGGTAGGTTAGATTTGATCTTCCTCCGCTGGATGCAAATCTTTTTTGGGGCTCTATGTTCTTTGCAGATCTTCCAGCTGTTGTCATTGAGTAATATTCTTCTAGATGATGCTTTTTGCAGCTTCCCTTCATTGATTGCAACAGGGAGCTCGTTGTTGATAGGGATTAGAAAATAGTTTATTTTTCTTCTATGTCTCCATTTGACTTTGGTTCTCTTTAAGTAGATCCCTTTCAAGTTGGTAACCATCCCTTCAACACTTGAATGCTCTGATTTTTGCAGATGAGAGGAGATGAGTTTTGGGGCTCCATAGTCCTTGTAGACGAGAGCCAAGAAGAAGCAATGATGGCGGGTAGCTTGAGAAGAGTTAATCTTGCTTTTGCCTTGTCTGAATGTGGAAGAAAACCACTGGCGATAGGTGGAGTTTGCTGAAGATCCATGGAGGATGTGCCAAGCCCCACTAGGAGGGTAGAGAGAAAAACTAGAGAGAGGAAAGTAAGAGAGAGACATCACTTATGGAGGAGAGTTGAGTTACTATCTTTTAAATTGAACACCCTAATCTAACCAACAATATTGATTCAAACCCCTAATCTATCCTTTCAACCTACATTCAAAATATTAATATATCTTATAATATAACGTTAATCCCAAAAATTAGCATAATTACAACAAATCAAAATATACTCAAGACGTTAAACACTAAACTTACCGTCGAAAGTGTTGCTCCAACTCTTACATGTCTGCCACAATCAAAAATCGCGTACTAAAACATAACCAACTTACAGAAACATAGATAGTCACTACCTAAACATAATTAGTGAAACATAATAACATACAAAAGCATCTTCATGGGAGTAAAATTGGAGATGGTAGAGCTATGAAGAGTGGAGAAAGAAGGAAGGGATGAAGAGAAGACGATGCTTGTTGTTTCTATTTGGAAGGATGGATGTAGAATTAGAGGCGGGGGCCGACATTTATTTTCATAAATTTCTACATAAGTCGCTCCTAACAACAATCTACACAAATTGTTAATTGGCGCAATTTATGTAGACAACAAAATCTCAATGTTGAACCGTATAAGAAGCATGTTGGGGGGAACACGACCGTACATATATCAGTGGAGTGGGGCTCGATTTAAGTTGCATTGCTTGAATCTTGCACGATTTAAACTTCATAGTTGGTCTTTATGGCGAACAACCTAAATCGTTGCACAAATGCGCAACTTTAGTTCTCAAACCACTGCTCTTACAACGATCAATCTTGTTCGCTGGATGCTACGACGATTTACCTTGATCATGATTGTTTTCAGCGATCTGCCTACTAAAATCGCTTGAGTGAGAAGCTATCTATCATAAATGAGTGAAGTTGCGTATATTGGAAATACAATCTCTTAAATTATCAAAACATATGTCGCTACATTGGAGGACAATATGATCTCTCCCAATATTAGGAGAGCAAGGATGCTACAGCATGAGATTGTTGGTTTGGTAGTTATATAGAAGCATAAGCAAGGGTCTTAACTTGAGAGTATGTCGATGAAGAGAAACTATATCTGTCATGTGCTAGGTAGGTGTGGTCTCCTGCCATAGGCGTAGTCTTCTTTTTAGTAACTAACTACATATATTCTATTCAGTTCTGGACTTAACTACGTCAGCAATGATAAAGTTTTATCGTCATAATACCATTATTTATATATAGGAACGTGAATATTGCCATAAATATTATTTTTACTTTGCCATAATTCTTTTTGGTTTCGCCACCATCCGATATTTCTCACGCAACAAAGTAAAACTCATTTATTTCTCTTACATTAGCAATAGGACAACCAACGAAAGATACAAAACATATTTTAGAATGCACCTTTTTCTAGAGAAAATTCATATTTAATGAATAGGGTTGGAGAGAGCAGCAACAATCTGTAACAACCAAGACTTAATTGTATAAAACAGAAAGTATAAAGGATGAAGTTGTATGGTGGGAAGAGTATTAAGGAATAAATCGTAATTATCCCATATGGTTTAAATAACCCGCATGTAAGAACCCACCGACTATTAACAGATAAGAAACCATTTTCCCTCATTTACTCTATTTATCTGTCTATTCTGTTACTGATTTTGTTCTCTACCTCATTTCTCACCCCATTTCTGACATTAGAGCTCGTCAAGACTACTTCGATCGCCCAGAGTGTTACAAACGTGGTATCAGAGCACTCTCTTGGCACGATGGCAACCAAACGCATCGAGGAAAGCTTCAATCTCTTCACCGCCCGCTCTGGTGAAACAGAATCGCAGCTTCGAGATCATTTTGCGGTCTTGGATGATCAATTCACTACACGCACCAGTCAATTGCATGACTTAGTTGCTTGATTGAGGTGCATTTACATCAATTCGCAACGAATACTACTCGTTTGGATGGCATGGAAGGCCGTTTGGAAGGGCTTTTTGATTGCCTAGATGGTCAAATTGATGAGTTTATCCGCTGAATGGAATTAGATCATCTGCATATGGAGGTGATTATTGCTAGTGTGGAGGAGCCACATAGAGTTCAGAACTGTGACCCTGGATTATTGTCATTGCCGCATCAGGCTCGTCGGCTAGTTAAGCCTGGCATTCAGTTTCAGGCTTCCTCCACCACGAGGTAACAATCCCTATCAGCTGTAACACCTATATTTTCCTTCTTTTAATGTCGACACTCCTAAAGAATGGACTAGGTAATGTGAAAAACTATTCGAGATCTATGAGATTCCCGATGACCATAAGGTTTGAGTGCATGCCCTTTACTTTGAAAAACATCTGGTTCGGGGGATGGATATTCAGGCATCGTGAATTAGGTTGGTAAGAATTTGTTCCTGCCTTATGTAGGAGGTTTAGTGAATGGTCGTATATTGGCGTTGTGGGGGTGTTTAACAAGCTAAGGTAGCGCGACTCTCTTGCAGAGTATCAGGAGAGGTTTGAGGAGCTCCAATCTCGGATGGTTCATTATAATCCTACACTGGAGGAGGAATATTTCATATCCAATTTCATTAGTGGTCTTGAGGAAGAGCTGAGAACGCTTGTGACGATGATGGAGCCAGATTCTTTGGCTCGAGCATTTCAATTAGCCAAGCTGGAGGAGCCTTCAAATAAGGCCAGGAGAAGGATATGAAGAACTGCTCCAGGCATTCGTCCTCCTTATGTTACCAACTCATAGCACTACTTTAGCACCTAAGAAGTGGGATTCAACTAATTTGAGGCCACCTGCAAATAAGAATGCTTCTACAACAGCTCATGAAGGAAACTTCCAAAGGGGGCTTGCTACAAATGTGGGGACAAGTATTAATTGGGACACATCTATGAGGCTAAGAGGCAGTTGAATGCCTTGCAAGGAGATGATTTAGGGGGTTTTCCTCCAGAGGGGTGGAATGATGATGAGTTTAGTGATGCTTCATAGAGCTGTCTGTGTTACAGAACTTGGAAATCTAACAAAAAAAAGTGACAATGCAGGCTTTGAATAGTGGTGGTACTGACAATTCTCTAGTAGTAAAAGGCAAGGTGAAGAAGCTCAGGTTGTTTATTTTGGTGGACACTAGCAGCACACATACATTCTTAAATGAATGTACAGCCGAAGAACTTAATTATTCTATCTCCAGCTACTATTTTGAGGGTTAAGCTAGCTGATGGCACAGTTTTGGTCAACAATCTGGTTTGCAAGGATTTCTAGTGGGAGATGCAAGGTCAATAGTTTGTGCATGCTGCTAGGATCTTAAGCTTAGTGTCTAATGACATGGTATTGGGCTTGGATTGGCTTAGGACTATCAGTCCAGTGAAGTTTGACATTGTAAACCTACAATTTTTTTTTTTTTTTTTTTTTTGAGTAGGAGGGATAAGAAGTGCAATTAGAAAGAATTGAAAAATATGGTAACTGCAAGGAAATGTCTGGCAAAGATTTACATAAGTTTTTAAATCAGAAGGTACCCTTGTGGACAAACAACTATTACAGATATCTGTCACTTCAACTGTCCCAAGTAACATTCCTGATTTCTTGTGTTAAATGAGTATGCATATGTGTTTGAAAAACCTACCGCCCTCCCCCTTCCAGGTCCCGTGACCACTCTATTCCATTACAACCCAACTAGTTAACATCAGACCCTATAGATATCCCGTACCTCAGAAAATAGAAATGGAGAAATTGTGCGATGAAATGCTAGCTTCTCAATACATACAGCCTAGCCACAATCCCTTTGATTCACCAGTGTGACTAGTACTTAAAAAAGATGGTTCATGGAGAGTCCGTGTTGACTATAGAAAATTAAATACCCTCACCATCAAAGACAAGTTTCCAATACCAATAATTGATCATTTGCTTGATGAGCTTAAAGGATAAAGATATATTTTACTAAGTTGGATCTTCTATCAGGCTATCATCAGATAAGAATGAATCCTGATGACAAATTCAAAACTGCCTTTAGAACCCACCATAGCCATTTTAAATTCCTTGTCATGCCATTTGGTCTTGCCAATGCCACTGCTACCTTTCAGTCCCTCACGAACCGAATCTTTGTTAAACACCTTAGGAAGTTCATACTAGTCTTTTTTTATGACATATTAGTATACAACCCTTACCAGTCTACCCATAAATAGCACCCTATCACCACCTTAGCCATTCTCAGACAACACACCTTATATGTCAAACCATCTAAATGCTCATTTGGCCAATAGCAAGTGGATTACTTGGAACACATTATTAATGAAAGAGTCTGCACTAATCCCAGCAAGATTGCAATTATGGTGGGGTGGCTTGTGCCTCAAAATGTGAAAGAACTCAAAAGTTTTGTTGGGTTAACTGGGTATTACTAGAAGTTTGTGAGGAACTATGGATTGATAGCTAAGCCCTTGGCTGAGTTATTGAAGAGGGATAACTTCTTGTGGAATGCTAATGCTTAAAGAGTTTTTGAACTCATTAAATCTGCTAAGGTTCAAACTCCTGTTTTAGCCTTACCTGATTTTTCTCAAACCATTTACCATAGAAACTGATGCCAGTGACATAGGCATTGGTGTTGTGTTATCACAAGGAGGAAGACCATTGGCCTACCATGGTCAGGCTCTATGCCCCAGCAAGCAAGGACTTTCAACTTATGAAAAGAATATTTGGCTTTCATTACGGCTGTGACTAAGTGGGGCATTACTTGGGGGTAGATAATTTGTTATACTCACTGGCCATGAGCTTGAAGCATTTACCTGGACAAAAAGTGCATACACAGATACAGAAGAAGTGGTTGGTTAAATTGTTGTGACTGGATTTTGAAATCAAGTACAGACATGGCAAGTTACATAGAGTTGTAGATGCCATGTCCATATATTGTAGTTTCTCCAATACCGGTGAATGTTAGGCTATTACAACAGCCTTACCTACTTAGTTAGTGGACAGAGAACAAACATATGATAGTGATCCAGTTCTTCAGGAGCCGATGACTGCAGTTGCAGTTCCTTTTTCGGGACCTTGCATTTACTCCATCAGACAAGGGATACTCTATCACAACTCAGCCTTGTATGTGGGTTCCTATGGGGGTATAAGGCAGAAATTGATGGAGTTGTTCCATGCTTCTTCTGTGGGAGGACATTTTGGGGTGTAGGGTGCTTACCAAAGGATATAGAAGTATTTCTTGTAGCCAGGGGTTAACAGTATGTTGTGGGAGTTTGTAGGGGTCTGTGATGTGTGTCAGAGGTGCAAGACTGAAAATGTGCCCTATCCAGGTCTATTACAGCCTCTGCATATTCAAGAAAGAGCTTGACAGCATATCTCCATGGATTTCATTGATGGTTTGCCAAAATCAAGAGGGAAAGTAGCAGTTTTGTTTGTGATAGACAGATTTTCTAAATATGGTCACTTCTTTAGTTTGACCAGGCCATTCATTGCTGCTATAGTGCCTATATTTTCTTTAATGGGGTGTTTAAGCTTCATGGGATGCCTCAAACTATTGTATTTGACAGGATGCCATCTTTGCAAGTGCATTTTGGAATGAGTTGTTTAAATTGCAGGGAGTTAACGTGCATTAGTCTACCGCTTACCATCCACAGACAAATGGATAAACTGAGAGGCTTAACATACGTTTGGAGTATTATATGAGGGCTATGGTACATCATTCTTCACAAAATGGTGGTATAACACCAATTATCACAACTTGAAGTTGATTCTTTTAGAAGCATTGTACGGGTTTCCTCCTGTTCAATTTGCTGTCCAGAATCCCCTGTCAACCTCCGTAGCAGTTGTTGATGAGAAGTTGCAATAACAAAGATTATTGGTATTCTCAGGGACAATTTGGCTATGGCACAAATAGACAGAAACAAATGGCAGACAAGCACCGATCTGAAAGGGAATTTCAGCTCGACTAAGGCCTTACAGATAAATGATTGTGCAGAACAGAAGTAACCAGAAACTATCTTCTAAGTACTATGGACGTTTTAATATATTGCAGAAGACGAGAGTTGTTGCATACAAACTCAAGCTACCCAATGGTTCCAACATCCATCCAGTCTTCCTTGTGTCCTTGTTAAAGCGGGATAATGGAAGCGCCATTTCCACCATTAGAGCTCGCCAGGACTTCTTCGATCGCCTAGGGTGTTACATAGTCGCAGGAACCCTGGATCTTAATGGTACAATATTACCAACTAGAAAATCTTTCTTCGGGCACATAGATCCTGGCTTGTTGAGTACAAATTACCATATAGAAAATATTTCTTTAAGCAAGCAGATATCAAGGGCTGCAGCTGAGTTGAACAATAGAGGGGGCGCTGCTAGTTCAGAAGCAAACATGGGGTGGAATGAGTTTTCCTGGGTTCATTATATTGTTGGGATCTAATGCGTCTTTGATCTTTTTCATCGTCTTCAAGTTCTCGATCCCCAGTTCCTTTTCCAGATACTGAAAACACACAAACCGGTTGGGAAGGTGAGAATAGCTAAAACAAGAGATAATGAACGACATTACTGCATTAAGTGCAGTTACATTACCTTCATTTTCCCCGTCCCAACTCCATGTTCACCAGTGCATGTTCCTGGTCATGCGTTTCAACAGTGATAATGAAAAGATAAGGATAGAATACAGACAAACTTAACAGCTGCTGCATACATGAATACTGTACCTTCCATTGACAAGGCAGAGTTAACCATGATATTGTTAAGTCTCTCTGCTTCCTTTCTCTGCTCTTCCACATTAGGGTCAAAGAGAATCACGGTGTGAAAATTTCCATCACCGGCATGAGCAATAACCGTGCTGTTATTTTAGGGGGTAGAACATGCAAGGGAAAAGTAACAACAAAAGGTTTAAGTGTCCAGACCAGAAAAAAAATGTCTCCACTTGAATTATCTTCAAACAACTTCACAAGGGACTACTTCATACCAAATAAGGTCCGATGCATCCAACTGCTCTTTGGACTTGGAGATCAATTCTCCAAGCTTTGATAACGGAACGCATACATCCTGCATTCAGGACAGAGAGACAGCAGTTGGAATAAGAAAGGGAGATTGGAGGTTGTAAAAGGAAAAAGCTAAGTGAGAGCTATCAACTCACGGTAATCATTGCTTCATATTTGGGCTCCATAGCAAAGCAAGCCCATAGAGCTTCCTTCCTTACCTGCACCCAACATTGTGATAGATGACCAAGCAAGCAAAGAACCGAGTAAGAAGAAACTTTGATCAAGCCTTCGATCTTGCCCAAACGACCTGCTCTGTTTTGATAAAAGTAAACAGCTCCTACAATAACTGACAAAGGTAGTGAATGGTATGCCTCTCATTCCAAGCAACCATACCTTCCAGAGTTCCTTTTTGGCCTCGGGGTCTTTTGCAAAAACAAAATCAGAGCCATTGTGATCCAAAACGATCTTCTGAACCATCAGAGTCTGCTCATGTGCATATGCCTCTGCAATTACACAGGACTTGAGAGGAAGCATGAGTGAAAGCAAGCAAACTATTATTAAGTATATAATTAATAGTGCAAGTATGATTAGTTGATTACTGTTGCATACGAAAAATAATGAATGAACGGTTTATTGAAGGGTTATGATCATGCGTGGACAGCCCCATTATAATTTTACATGGTAGTGTATATCAATTTCACATAGACTCTCGCGTTGGGCTGCTCAAGCGTCTTTCCCCTTTCTTCTAACTCCAATGTTTTCCTCCTTCCCTCTGATGCATGCTTTGCCTTTTTCTCTTTCATTAGTTCAATACAAAGTGGTTGTCAACCCGCGGGTCGACCCACTTTGACCCTGACCCGGTGAAAAAAAAGGGCCATACGCACCCGCCGGGCCGACCGCTACAAGGTACCGGGTTGGAGGTCAAATTGTGTCATTTTTTTCTTTGGTTTGCGAAATGCACCTATTTTCCGATTTTTATTTTCGCCTAACTCAATCTTTGGAATCCTAAGTTGAACATTTGAATATTTATGTTATATAAGTGTGTGAATTTTCACTATATGTTGGATCTAAGTACGATATGTTATTTTGGTGTAATATTATATGTTATAAGTCATATGTTAGATAAGATTTTATATAATTTATGAGGATAAGTACAATATAATGACTTTTTCTATATTTCCGGGCCAAACCGGGCTAAAACGGTTGACCCATTAACCCTTGACCCACTAGCTCTACCGGGTCCGGGTCAACCCGCGGGTTGACAACCTTGATACAAACTAATTAAAGTGGTTTTGTATATATTTATTCCCTATACTCAATTCCACCATAAGCTCTTTGTTAGACCATACAATTCTAAAGATTTGTATAACACTAGAAATGTGTTTCTCCATGTATAAATGATAATCCCATTGTAGAGCACCCAGACAAGAGAATACAGTTATCATATCTGTTTATTTGTCATGATTCTTTAGTGGCATCATTGTTGTTTATCACTATTTAGGAAAAGCCGTAGCTCATCATTAGGTGGCCACATTTTCCAGATAAAGCAGAGAAACCTATTACTAAACCAAGAAATATGGCATCCCTGCCGCTTAAACTTCACTTGTGATAGTGTCTCATAAAACGAGTGAACACAGAAGACGCATTTAGCCCAAAAGGGAGCATCCTTTCTCAAGTGTCATAATGATGTAGTTACATATTAACAGAAGGTTTAATAAGGACACCTGTCTTTACCTGTGCCAGTGAATTCAAACATCAAAGTAGGGAGTTCAGGCAAGTTCTTTCCGTTGGCAATATTCACAGCTTTCACCTGAACCTCGTCCAATAGCTCCACCCTAGATACCTAGTAGCGCAAACCATGAGAAAATTCATAAATAAAGTACAGTCCCTAACGAATCGATGATGAACAGTTTACCTGAATGCCAGATAGCATAGCTGCAATTGCAACATCTGCTGCATCCTTAACTGTTGGAAAATTGCACATAGCCACCTGCATTATCACCAGAATCATCAACGATGTTGAATTGATCGTTTACGATTGTAGTAATTCATCTAGGTTACAAGAGTAGTCAATCATATTCATAGAGATCAGGTTTTGCATTGAACAAAGACATCAAACACCCTTGGATGCATAACCACTTGAAGTGGTTGAATGTCACTACAGGATGATAGGAACCCAATGGATAATAGAATACCAGTGATCAGAATAAGACACACTCCTTGTTTCTCCAGCTCGATATGGTAATAAAACAAATGGAATTCCTTATTGTTGCACATCTGCTATTCATTCATCCTACTTCTTGTTGAGCGTACAGATTCAAAAAAACATATCACAGATTAAGAGATTGATTTAAAAAGTAATAAACATTCTAGTTTCTAATACAAAAGAGATGGCTGTCAAAATTATTTCGCAAAAGAGATGGAATCATCTGGTTTGATTTAGCACTAAAAGACTCAGCAAAACAAAACAAAACAAAAAAGGAGACTTCAGACAAGGGAAGAACTACAGTACCACTGAATGTGGTGGAATCTTCTGGAGTCGAAGAGTGACCTCTGTTACAATGCCGAGGGTTCCTTCGCTTCCAATCATCAAACGAGTCAAGTCATACCTAAGTCATAACAAACTAATAAACAGAGGGAAACCAGGATGAAAAGAAAAAAACAATCACATAGTACGATTTGCTGTTCAATAAATGGAACTTAAGTATGATATAAGAGCAGACCCAGCAGCACTTTTCCGGGCACGTGAAGCCGTCTTCAACACTTCTCCATTTGCAAGAACAACCTGAACATTGTAATTATTAGAAAAACATTCACTTAATGAGAGAACTCTATAAGGAGAAGTAGCCAACCTTGAGATTAATGACATTGTCTCTCATAGTCCCGTACCTAAATGCTAAAAATACTCATTAATCCAACAAAAGAAGCATCATCAAATTCATAAGCAATTTTGAGGTTAAGACTTATCTGGAACAGAAATAAAAGAATTAAGTGTTCTGGAAATGACAGCATCACTGGAGATGGAAACAACTAAGAGAGAGAGAGAGAGAGAGAGAGCAGATACATTTTTCTTTAGGAATGTGAAGAGAGCAGAGACGTCCTAAATGGGAAGTCTATAATGCAGAGGCCTAACATATGGATCACACAGTTTTTTAAGAAAGACTAAGCTTCTGCATGCATCTCATGATCTATGACCAGTTACATGTGCCACTGAAAAAGGCTTTTGAAGAGAAAATTGACATATCTAAATGGGAATTTCACCAATTTGCTCTTTCTATAGAAAATTAAAACAAGAAATAGATGCTGTCACCCAAACAGTAGAAAGAGTACCTTGCCGCCAGCGAACCTGAGCAACGTGTTGCACACATTCCCCCAATGGTTGCACCAGGACCTGATTATGAACACATGCTTAGATGTTTCATTTGACTCATAATTTGACCTATCAAAAACTAGGCATTTCAGAACGGGTTGAAAGTTATGGCCTTAGGTTTCCTGCGCTCTACCAAGACAGCAACAGAATAGTTGTCGAACTTATCGTTCAAGGTCACACTGTCTCACATTGCAGCATTTGTTGCTTAGAGCATCGAGAATAGTAAAGTATGTTACCCGGATCTAGAGGAAAAAATAGACCATACGGCTCAAGGTACTCATTAAGTTCCATCCAGCCAATCCCAGGCTCCACAATCACATCCATATCCTCGACGTGCAATGCTTTAACTTTCTAAATGGAAACAATCATCAAAATGTTAGTGGACATGAACTTGCATAGTTAGATGTATATATGTATACTTTGGACGTGTTCAAGGAACGATCAGACTCATAGACACATGATTCCATAGCAGCGCAACAAATCTATACAGAGAATAAATCCCACACTCCATAAAAAAAGTTCATTTTCAGCTATATGAAAACAGGTATTGATTATAAATGTTCTCATAACCTGCGAGAAATGAGATGCATTGCTACCATTGCCACCATTAAAGGTATGTACTTCACCTGTTCTGGAGATTCTTGACAGTAGAAGGAAAAACGGAGAGAAAGGGGTGATGAAACATACCTTCATATCAGATAAGTCAACACAAACACCACCATGAGGTGCCAAGGTGTGACCCTCAATTGATGTAGCACCACCATATGGCACAATAGGTATCTGGTCAAGAAGCAATAGATCAGGTAAGTTGGGCATAGGAAGGTATTCCTAATTTACCACCAAACTGAATGACAGAGCCAGATGAGAATGGCAAAAAGATCCCATAAATCTTCCTCAAACGCGCAAAAGGAAGAAGCTCGTTCAACAGATATATATCTCACGGGTATCTAACCTTATGCTTGTTACAAGATTTGACAATTCTAGAAATTTCCTCCTCTGACCTGCAAATTCAGAATACACTTCATTGTAACAAACTTGCAGTAGTAGAAAACATTAGCATATTACAAAAGCAAAAGCTAAACAAATTATGCGCGCTCATAGTAGCATTCTACAATTTAGAAGCCTTACAGAAAATCAAAATGCAAGATACAGACCCTTCAGCAGCAATTCCGTATCGAACAGGACAGTGAACTATTCTAGTTAGTTTGCAGCTTCACCAACCAAGTAAGAGCATCACTAGAGCAAGAAAACTATTCCAGCTAAGCACTACAAAATGTAAGCAGGAAAAATAAAAGTTAGGGTCGAGTGCGAAACCTGCCTTGGAAAAACAACGACGTCGGGGATGTTTACTGCCTTGTGGAAGCTATTCTGTGGCTTCCCGTGGAAGTACCTTTCATCAAAATCCAAGGTCATTTTATCCTGTAAAACTAACACCATAAACCATATGTCCCAGCAATCCAGCCCAAAAAGGAACGTACTCCTCCATTGACGTGCAACAAATCCCGAATGAAACGGAAAGGCAGCTCACCATAAGAAGCGGGAAAACAATTGAAGCAATACCTGACAGATAGCTTTTAATTCGTCGAGCAACTCTTTTGGAACCTGCTTGTGCGAACCTTTCACCACGAAATCCGTGCTACCTTTGCCTCCAATGCTGCATTCCACCACATAGCGAAACCATCGCAATCAATGGTGAACCGGCAAACAAACGGAGTAAAATCAAAATAAAAACAAAAGGAACACGACAAATTTTCAAAAGAAAAGGAAACAAACGAGCACCGAGGATGATTCTCGAGATTCGAATCATGATCGCAGAGGGAAGGCTGCGGCTGAGCAGCGAGAGAGCCGGCAGAGATCAGAGCAACACTCAGAGGAACCAGGGAGCCGGGCCAAAGAAAGGAGAAAGGCGGCTTCCGTGCGCCGCCGGAATCGACTGAGTAGGCGGCGAGGGAACTGGTATGCATTCGGAAGATGCGGAAGGGAGAGGGAGAAGAAGAAGAGGAGTTGCGGAGAGTGGAGAAGGCCGTTTGCGAAGCGATGCGGAAGCGGGAGAGCCACTGGGAGAGAACCATGGTTGGACTTGGAGTTTGCGGATCGAAGAGAAATGAGAAGCTTTTGAGCGGTTAGAACTTTGAATGCGGATGAAGGAGATTCCCCAGCCGCCGAGTGCAACTGGAGTTGGAACTTGGAATTTGGAACTTGGAAGTGAGGCTGACTTTCTATTTTCTCGATAAGCTACCAGCACCAATATCTTTCCTATAGGTGTCAACCGCGCGGGTTCGGGCGGGTTCGGATTGGGTTCAATCGGGTTCGGGTTCAAACGGAATGTGGGTTAGTCGGGTTGCGGGTTCATCGGGTTCGGGTTCAAACGGGTTGCGGGTTATTCGGGTTGCGGGTTCATCGGGTTCGGGTTCAATCGGGTTGCGGACAAATCGGGTTGCGGGTTCATCGGGTTTTGGGTCGGGCGGATCGGGTTTCGGGTTGTTCGGGCCAGCGCATCGAGTAACTTACTCATTACTCGTTACTAACTTACATATTTTATTACACTAATTTAAAATATTTTTCTCAACTTTTTAACCAATTTATTCTACGTCATATATATACTTAATTTTTTATAAAAAAAACAAGTCAAAATGTTAAATCAATTTGTATGACTTGCAAACTTGTTATGTAATTAATCATAATTGGTAAAGTACACTAGCTAATAGTAATGGTGATATCAATATTTGCAACCAAAAGACACCATTAATTGTTTATTTGATATTTTAGTATTATTTCAGTAGTAATTGGATTAAAGTATCTTGTTTAGTATAACCATGCAAATATGGTATTTGGTTTGTGGTATTTGGCAAAAGTATAGTGATAAAAGGAGTTATTTCGAAATAACTCATTGCCCAAATAACTTCAGTAAACTATTGCCAAACGAGTTATTTGTAAAATTGTTTGAATTGTCCTAAAGATTAACTATCAAATTTAGTAAAATTATTGTGACTTCAATCATAACTTACTGAATAACATATATCCTATACAGTTAGCCTTATCCTCAATCGATAATATTAAATTAGTATATCTCACATAATTTGTAAGGAATATAACATATATGATATTAACTAACTACTTAAATATTTGCAATATACAAACCACACAATTACTATATTGAAATTGTGCATATAAAATACAAACGTGCATAACCTATATGCCGAGAGCAGAAGAAAGGAAGCAGGGATTCGATTGTCTTCAGTCCTTTCTAACCTAGAGGCGACGAAGACGGCAACGGAGTGAAGGGGACAGAACCACTGGAGACAGTCTGGTGGCGGAGATAGGGATTTCCCTTCTCACTTGATTAAAATATTGGGGGAGGTGGGAGGGAATTTTCAATTTTGGGATGGGAGGGAATTTCAATTTTGGATCAAATATTGGGGGAGGTGGGAGGGAATTTTCAATTTTGGGATGGGAGGGAATTTCAATTTTGGATCAAATATTGGGGGAGGTGGGAAGGAATTTTCAATTTTGGATCAAATATTGGGGGAGGTGGGTTTATGGGAGGGATTTTTTTAAAAAAATGGGTTTGCAAGGGAATTTTTTAGCAAATATTTGTGGGTTTTGAATTTTGCATTCAAAAATTTTTCATAAACATCTAGTTCTTCCTTTCTTTGATATTTAGTATTATAGATGGTATATTTTATACCGATTAACTAGTTTGTTGTTCGATACGTTGGTCGGAATGTCATTTGAATATGATATATTTAAGATGTACATTCACAAGTTAAACTAATTGCTAAAATCAATTTAATTAATAAACTATAAAAATCAAAATATCCAACATAAAGCATAACCATGAATAAACTCTAAACCCTAACCCTAAACTATGACCCTATACCCTATACTATAGTTATATGTTATGAAATTGTTAGTATAAGCTATAATGTATGTTATGTGAAGAATGTAAGTTGAGTCAATTTTATATTCGGTTATTGAGAAGAACATACGTCCTATGACTCCAAACTCTAAACCACGAGTCCACTACCGTATACCCTATACACTAACCTTAAACCATGAACTATGGTTATGTGTTATGAAATTGTTTGTATAAAGTATAAACTATAACGTATGATATGTGAAGAATGTTAGTTAAGTCAATTTTGTATTCAGTTATTGAGAAGAACATACGTCCTAATCCTCCGAACTCTAAACCACGAGTCCACTACCGTATACCTTATACATCATAGTTAGTAAATATTCCGTTTAATAACAAGTTTAATATCCGTATTTAATGAAATGAATTATTAACTTTACTATTTTTGACATATTGATTTATTTATAAAAGTAATTAGTTTTATATATTTATAACTATTAGCGTACTATTAACTAAGAGACAAATTATAATACTAGTAAGTATTTTATTCTTAACTTTCCCGTACCGTACTTTACTAACTATGCTATACATTAAGTGAATTTTATGTATACGTTGACATAAAATAAATTTTAAGGATGGTCTTACTAAGTTGTGAACCATTAATTACAATCTAACTTTTTATTTTAAAATTCAGTTAACAAAAACATGTTAAAAAATATACCTCCGTTTAATAACACGTTTAATATCCGTATTTAATGAAATGAATTATTAACTTTACTATTTTTTACATATTGATTTATTTATAAAAGTAATTAGTTTTATATATTTATAACTATTAACGTACTATTAACTAAGAGACAAATTATAATACTTTTAAGTATTTTATACGTAACTTTCCCGTACCGTATTTTACTAACCAATATACTTTATACCCTAAACAACGAACCGTCAAAGATTATTTATCAAGTTTAGTATAATTGTTGTAACTAATATATATATATATATATATATATATATATATATATATATGCCTTAAAAGCATATAAGAATAAATTTAACTAATCATGCCCTCCATATAAAAATTAAAGATTCATATTTCAAAGGCTAAAATTTTGAAAAACCAAAAAGTTGAAAACACCAAATTTGTTTCATTCTTTATTTTCACAAAAAAGAAATATAAACTAAAATTTGCCTCCTTCTTTCTCCTTCGATAAATTAGAAACACTCACTTTCCCTCCTCTTTCTCTTCCATAAAATTGAAAGAACCAAATTTTCCTCTTCCTTCCTTCCACAAAAAGTTGAAAACTCAAAATTTCCCTCCTTATTTCTCTTTCATAATCAAAAGAACCAAACTTTCCCACTTCTTTCTATTCCCACAAATCAAAACCACCAAAATTTCCTTTGTTTTTTTTTTTAAATTCAAAGAACCAAATTTCCCTCTTCTTTCTCTTCCCAAAAAGTTGAATACACCAAAATTTTCCTCTTCTTTTAGAAGCATCAAATTACCAAATACATTACTTTATTTTATTTATATTTAATTGATAATTTTATTGAATAGTTGAATTAACCATAATTTTAATTTATATATTATATTAATATTGTCCATGATCTCAATTATTAATTCTTCATTATTAATATTGACATTATGTTGATTTTATATTTACTTTTTTAATTTTGTTAAAGAACTTAGTGTTCAAGTGATCTTCATGTTTCAATTTTTGTAATTTTCTTAAAATACATAATATCAAGTGAGTTTCATATTTTTTAAATTCCCTATACGAAATGAAAAAATAATTTTACCTAAGTTTAGAATGAAAAACTTTATTTTGAAAAACTATGTATTGTATATTATAATAATTATTTAAGTGGACTAAGTGAGGTTCAGGTTGAGTCGGTCGGGATACTAGTTAGTCGGGTTTGGGTCAATCGGGTTCGGGTTAATCGGGTTGCGGGTCAGTCGGGTTGCGGGTCAATCGGGTTCGGGTTAATCGGGTTGCGGGTCAATCGGGTTGTGGGTCGGGCGGGTTACGGGTTGTTGACTTTTAGTCAATTCTGATTGCGATCGGGTTGCGGGTCGGGTTAATCGGGTCGGGCTATGTTTTGACACCTGATTTTTTAAGGGTGAATTACTTAATTTAGGGGATTGGTATACGTCGCCCTAAAATTCCTTATTCGTCGTCTTAATTAAGTTAATTTTATTTAAATACTTTTAGTTCATTTATTTGTAGTTTAAACACTTAAACCCAAATCAAAATTAAAATTATCGAAAGTGTTGATATATGTGTACTAGTTTTTTTTTGTTTTGAAAATCAACACCTGTTTTATTTAATCATCAATGTTTAGACAAGCTAGCTCCTCATTAAGGAGAGCAACTAGAATAATTGGTGGCCTATCCACCCAACACTCAATTTCCTCCCAATTACAAGCAATATGGGCCATTTCATGTGCCACTCTATTTTGCTTCCTAGGAATATGGATCCATTCAATATGTTGGAAGGCCTGGCCCATCTCCTTGATCTCTTTTGTTATTTGGCCCACTTCAACTTGGGAAACCACCTGGCCTGTAATGAGGCGTTCCACCTGCTGACAGTCGTTCTGGATAGCGATTGAGTGCAGATGAAACCGATGAGCCATTTCCATCCCAAACTTCACCGCCATCCCCTCTGCCTCCATCGCCTCCCACTGCCTCCGCGTCCTCTTCACCGCCACCGCCACAAAGCCTCCATCCCTCTTCCTAATTACAGCTCCCAGTCCCGTCCCTTGTCCCGCCAGGCATCCCGCATCCACCGAGATCGTGAAATCAGTCGACTGCGCCGGTCTCCACTTCCTTTCCCTCTGGCGATGTGCTTCAGATTCCACCTCCTGCGTGTCCAGGTATTCTTCCAGCCATCCAATTGCTCTGGGAATAATTTCCATTTCTTCCAATTTCCTTTTGTTCCACATCTGACTGTTGCGTTGGTCCTAGATGAACCATAATGCAACAAGGAATCTTCCCAGCTGTTCATCATTCTCCGTCTCTTGCAGATTGCAGTACCATTCTTCACAGGTGAGTGTCTCCCCCCTCTCGAACAATAGATTAATAGGAGTATCTCTAGAGACCCTCCTCACCCACGCACAGTCCCTAAAGATATGATATTGAGTCTCTGGGAGATCACAAAATGGACATCCGACATGGCCCCTTTGCGTTCTTTCCACGATTCTAGCTCTCGTAGGCAGAATGTCCCTTACCCATCTCCACGCAAACAATCTCACCTTCGGTGGAATCTTGAGCTTCCAAAACCTTTCCCAATTGACTGGAGTATATAATTCCTCGAATTCCTCCTCATGCCTGTTCTTCCAAAGCTTGTATGCCGATCGCACCGAATATATCCCTGTGGTTTCCATTGTCCATATCTTTTCGTCCTTGCAAGGTTGCCGAGGGATTGGGATTTTCTCTATCTGTTTTTGGTCTTCCATATTGAAATGGGTCTGTAGTAAGTCAGATCTCCAGGTTCTTGTCTCTACCTCCATTAATTCAGCCATTGACGTTGTTTCTCCAATTCTCGTCCCTGGGGATGTCACTTTGTAGCCTTCGCTATTAGGAATCCACCGATCCAACCAAATATCGATACTTTCCCCATTCCCTACCCTCCATCGGTATCCATTCTTAATTAAATCCTGTGCTTCTATTAAACCCCTCCAAACAAAGCTGGAGTTCCTTCTTTTTTCAGCTTCCAGCACATCCCTTGTGGGAAAATACTTCGCCTTCAAAACTCGAGTTGCTAGTGACTGAGGTTCTTTTATTATTCTCCATAGTTGTTTGCCTAGGAGAGCTATATTGCAGCATTTGAGATCTCTGAATCCCAACCCTCCCTGCTTCTTAGGTCTGCACAATTCCTCCCACCTTAACCAGTGGGTTTTCTTCTCTTCTTGCTGTTGTCCCCACCAGAAATTGGTGATCAAACGTTGAATTTCTTTAACTATTGCCATTGGAATAGAGAAAATCGACATTGCATATGTCATCTGTGATTGTGCAACTGCCTTGATCACCACTTCTTTCCCCGCAATAGATAGGAGTTTGCTCTTCCAGTGTTTCACCTTGCTCTTCACCCTGTCAACCAGATAACCAAAAGCTGCTCTTTTTCCTCTGCCCACTCTTGTTGGGAGGCCCAAATATTTCTCATGGAACTCCACCCCCTTCATACCAAGGATCCCAGCTAGTTCATTCCTTCTGTTTGCCTCAATGTTTGGGTTGAATGATAATTCTGACTTCACCAGATTTACTTGTTGACCCGACTCTATCTCATAGAGGTTTAGTATCCTTTTCAGTTGTTCACTTTCTTGCTTAGTAGCCCTGGTGAATAGAATGCTATCATCTGCAAAAAGTAAGTGAGATATGCTAGGTGCCCCACGCTTGACTTTTATACCAGTTATCTTCTTCTCCCTTTCTGCCAACGAGATCAGCCCTGATAATCCTTCTGCCACTAGGAGAAAGAGGTAGGGTGAGATGGGGTCCCCTTGCCTCAATCCTCTCGTAGGTTTAAACCATTCTGTCTGGTGGCCATTTACTAAAAGGCTAAACGATACAGTGGTAACACACTCCATAATCAAATGAACCCAGCGGTCATTGAATCCCAGTTTGATCATAACAGCCTCCAAGAACTTCCAATCCACTCGATCATAAGCCTTAGTGATGTCCAATTTTGCTGCCATCCATCCACTTTTTCCCTTCTTCTTTTGCTCCATTGTGTGGAAACACTCAAATGCTACAATGATATTGTCTGTAATTAATCTTCCCGACACAAATGCACTCTGGTTAGCCACAATAATCTCGGGGAGAATTCCCTTCAACCTGTTTGCCAATACTTTGGATAGAATCTTATAGAGAACTCTGCATAAACTTATAGGACGAAAATCGGTAGGGCTTCCAGGGGTCTTCTTCTTAGGGATTAAAGTGACCAAAGTCTGATTCAGATCCTCTGTAAAGAAACCCCCTTCCAAATATCCTTGTAACTCCCTAGTAACATCATCCCCAATAATTTCCCAGTTTTTTGAAAGAATAGAGCAGGCATACCATCCACTCCTGGTGCTTTTAAAGGTCCCATATGCTTCAATGCTGCCCAAATCTCCTCTCTTGTGAAGGGTTTCAGCAAACCCTCATTCATTTCCTCTGTGACCTTCCTAGGAATAGAGTCAATGATCTGGCTCCCCTGTCTTGGTGGGCCTGCCAAATATAATTGCTTGTAGTAGGCGACCAGACAGGCTGCTACTCGATCCTGTCCTTCAAATAGTTCTCCATTCATGTCTCTTAGTTTTCGTATGGTATTTCTCTCCCTTCTTTCTGAAGCACGACGGTGGAAGTATTTAGTATTCTTATCCCCCTCCCTAAGCCATTCAGTTCTGGATCTCTATTTCCACTTCATCTCTTCAAATTCAAAAATCATCTCCAACTCCTTCTCTAGTGCATCACGCTGCTGGATGAGAGCTTGGTTCATTTGGAATTTACCAATCCTCCCCAGTACCCTTTCTATCTCTTTCCTTCTATGTTTCAGGTTACCAAAAGTTGCCTTGCTCCAATGCTTTAGATTCTCCTCACACTCTCGAAGCTTTTGCAGAACTGATCCAGCCCCATTCCTTTTCCATCCCTCCTCCACGACTTCTTTGATATCCTGATGCTTTTGCCAATATGCTTCAAACCTAAAAAAGGTTCCCCATCTAACTTCTGCTTCTCCCAATTGTGTCTGCAAAAGCAGAGGATTGTGATCTGATCCACATCTATTCAAGTGGTACACCCTCGCCTGAGGGTAAAGAGTCATCCACTGGTTTGTGGCCACCATTCTATCCAACCTCTCTTCCAGGAAAGTGTCATCCTTGTGGTTGTTGTCCCAAGTGAACCTTCTCCCATAGAAGCCAATGTCCTCAAGATTACAGTCCTCCAACGCTTTGTTAAAACCCTCCATCTCCTGTTCATTAGCATCATATTTTCCATTCTTCTCTGCATAGCACCGAACCAAATTGAAATCCCCTATCATTAACCATGGCAGGTCTGTGAGATCCCCCAACTGCCTTATTAAATTCCATGTGCGAGGTTTATTGCCCTGTTCTGGCCAACCATAAACTCCTGTTAATCTCCATTCCTTGCCTTCATCAGTAACCTTCATGTCAATGTGGTTATTTGAGTAACCCTTGATTTCTACCTTGATTTCTGGTTGCCATAGGACCATTAGTCCCCCTGCTCTTCCTGTCGACCCAACACCAAAGCCATCCTTCCAACCCAGGTTCCTCATTGTTTCCCTCCATTCATGAGTCATTCTTTTTGTTTCCATCAAGAATGCTATTTGGGGATTTTGTCTTTGCAACAAAGACCTGACTTTTTTAATTGCCGAGGGATTTCCCAACCCTCGACAATTATAACTGAGTATATTAATTGGGCTGGGCGGCTCTGCTCTACTGCAAAGTCCGCCAACTCGCCATCCATGTTCTTTTGTTTCCCCTGCTGTTCCTCTATCTGACCCATCTGAAAATCCAAAACTCGAGCCTTCTTTGAATGTTTTGGAAACTCCAGATCAATATCCATGTCACCTTCCTGTGTATCAACATTTCTCTTCTGTGGAGTAAGTTGAGTTGCCTGTTGATTTCTCTCCTTTTGTTGTTCTTGTCTACGCCAGACATTCCCTGGAGGCCTCCTTGTTGTCAGCCCCGCCTCCTTACCCATCTTAAATATTTGCAGAGCCCCCCTACTGCTACTTTCTTCTCTTTAGTTGTTTCCTCCCCTTGTCTCTTTGTAGGTGGCGTCTTTTCTTCATTGTGCTTTTGTGTTATGTTTTCCTTATTCGCCCCTGTCAATGTTGCATCAGTCTGTTCCACATCCCTTGCAGTTTCTTCTCCTCCCATTCGTTTTCCCATGCTAGCTCTTGCATTCTCCTCTCCTGCTCGATGTGCTTCGCTCTCGAAATTGGCACCAGAGCATTCCCGCTCAAATTTCTTTTTTAGAATGGCCCAAATTTCAGCATCTTCTTTTTTAGCTGTGTGAGACAGCCAGGTCCTTGGACCAGGCACCCCCGCTCTCATCTCAAATCCAAAAGGATCCACCTGAAGGTTTGATGGTCGCGGGCATCTGACCTTGGGATGGCCAATTCTGCCACAAGAATAACAAAACAAAGGCAGCTTCTCATATTTGACTGCATATTCCACCAATTCCCCACCAATATTGAGTTTTAATTTCTTTTTGAGGGGATTGTTGATGGAGAGATTAACTCTTATTCTCATAAAGTCATCCCACATTGTTCCTGTGCTATCATCAAACCACACTAGCTTTCCAAAGCGTGATGCCAGCTTTTCTGCCATTTTTTGAGTTCGCAACTCTGCTGGAAATTCTCTAATTTGTATCCATAAATCTATCATGTGTAGGTCCTCCGGCGATGGTTTCTTTATCAGGTAACTTGATGCAAGAACGAGGATATTGTTCTCGTAGTGCCACGGTCCTCCATAGCAAGCTTTATTGCGATCGTCCATGTCCAGAAACTGAAACGCAAAGAGGTTCTCTCCCAGGTCAGTTATTTGAAACCCCTTTCTTGTGTTCCACGCTTTTGCTAGAGCTATCTTCAGTGATTTTATATTTGGTTGCTTTTCAGCTACCAGTCTTCCTATCACCCCAGCTTTCGCACCGCTTCCATCCTTACTACATCAACATC